GGCCTTGAGTTCAAACTTTAATACCATAAAAAATTAGCCATGGGTTCTGGTGGCTCACACTTGTAATCCTAGCTACTCAGGAGGCTGAGATCTAAGGATCGCAGTTCAAAGCCAGCCCCAACAGTGAGTCTCTTATCACCAATAAACCACCAGAAAACTGAAAGTAGCACTGTGGCTTAAATGGTAGAACACTTAAGTATAACTAAACTAAAAAATAACTAAGCCCATATTGATGCAAATGATTAAAATAAGGCAGAGGTAGAGGGAAGACAAATCAGCCAGATGAATTCCAAGTAATTATAAATGCCTCTCTCCTGGCCTTGTGGTCTGTGCTTGGTGGCTTGCTTCCTGAGACAGTATGTGGCAGGAGGTGTAGGGGCAGCGCGTTAGTGGTTAAGACTGCCCTGTGAGCTGGAGGTGCTGAGGATGGCTGGCCCCTGTGGGTGCCAAGGGCACCCATGCAGGACTTTACAGGAATTAGGGCCAGATTGTGGTTGTTCTCGTGCTCATCTGCAATTCTACTTAGCATGCCTCCTTTCTCAGTTTCTCAGTTACGGACCACTGTGCTAGATGTTGGGGGCCTATTTCTCTGCTCTCCTCACCATGCTTGTACTTTATGGCCTCTCCACAACCTCCCGAAAGTAATGGGGCTGTCATTTATGTTAGATCAGTTTTTACTCTTATATCTTTGTGATTCTGCATACCAGAGTTGAGTCATGTAATAAATTTTCCTGTTCAGTCTTTTGTTGGGAGCGAGTCACTGTCTGGTTTTTACCTCCTTTGTAGAGTTGGCATGCATTCAGCCCCAATCGTTAGCTTGGTTTCTGTGTGACTGGTGCAGCCTTGAAGGCCGTCTCCCCGCCTGCTGGTCCTATGAGCTGTCTGTGTCATGTGACATCCTCCTTCTCAACTGGGTCCCTTTGTTCTGATTGAGCACATCTTCTAGCAGTTGGAGGTTGCTGGTAACATAAAATGTTTTGGGTTGTGGTGTGTCTGTTCTTACATTGAGAATTTGACTGACTCTAGAACTCTAAACTAGAAACAATTTCCCATCATAGTTTTGGAGGCATTTATTTGCTTCTGGCTTCCAGATAGGTGATATGTGAAACAACTTCTGGTTTTCTGGTGGTAATTGGAGATAAGAGTCTCATGAACTTTCCTGCCTGGGCTGGCTTTGAACTTCCATTCTGAGATCTCAGTCTCCTGAATAGCAGAATTACAGGTGTGAGCCACCAGTGCCTGGCCAGTCTTATTCCTTCTATGTGATTGGTTGGTGTGTCACCCTCTCTGGGAGCAGGGAGGGTGCTCTTTTGTCACACTATTTTTATTTTTACTTATTTTTTATTTTTGGTCGGTCATGGGGCTTGAACTCTGGGCCTGGGCGCTGTTCCTGCGCTCTTCAGCTCAAGGCGAGCGCTCTACCGCTTGAGCCACAGTGCCACTTCCGGTTTTCTAGTGGTTTATTGGAGATAAGAGTCTCACGGACTTTCCTGCCTGGGCTGGCTTTGAACCCTGATCCTCAAATCTCAGCCTCCTGAGATCCTCAAATCTCACCTCCTCACAGGTGTGAGCCACCAGCGCTCGGCAAGTCACACTATTTTTATTAAATTTTTCTTTCCATCTGGAAGCTGGTGGCTCATGCCTGTAATTCTAGATACTCAGGAGGTTGAGATCTGAGAATAGTTTGAAGTCAATCTCAGCAGCAAAGACTATGAGACTCCTATCTCGAGTTAAGCACCAAAAAACCAGAAGTACAGCTGTGGCTCAAAAGTGGTAGAGTGCCAGCCTTGCATGAAAAACCTATAGAATAGTGCCTGGGTCCTGAGTTCAGCCTCAGTACAATTTTTTTTTCTTTCTTTGGCAAAGTCCTATCTCTATTCGTAGAATAGTTAGTGCCTGGTATAGCTCAGTAAACATTTATTGAATGAATGGTATTATTGTGTCTGATGAGTTTTGGTATCCACCCATTTTTCTCTATGAAGTGAAGGTCTGGTTCTGCAAACCAGTCCCTGGTTGAGGGCAGGGGCTGTGAAAATCAGACAGAATAATAGAGGCACATCTTCACATTAAGTGTTTGGGAATAAACAAGTAGGATTGCAGTCTGGGACACCGGTGCAGTAAAGACATGTCCCCCTTGTATTCACAACACAAGGGAAAGCTATGGAAGTTGGAGAGGTCACTGTTAAAGGTCACAAAGTTCTCAGGCAGTGCTGTGGAATGAGTTCTGAGACAGTCAGGCAAGTGTTTTTATGAGAGGCCAGCTGTTCTGGAGTAGTAGTTCCTGTTGTCAGTCTACTTGTGCTTAGACTCCTCCCTGCTCCACTCCCAAGTAACTCCATTTGAACCTGACAGCTTCTACCAGGGTCTTCTGGTTCTTGCTTTCTGCCTGGAGGAGCTTCTGTTCTCCCTGCCTGCATTCCTGTACAAGGCAGTCACACTTTTGTAAGCAGCTGGTTGTCCATCCATACTTACAGGTTCCCGTTGTGCTGTTGTGCAGTTAATTGCCATGCTGAAGGCTTTTCTTTTCTTTCTTTCTTTCTTTTTTTTTTGTTGGTTGTGGGGCTTGAACTCTGGGCCTGAGCACTGCTCTGCACTCTTCAGCTCACGGCAGCGCTCTACAGCTAGAGCCACAGCACTACTTCGGGTTTTCTAGTGGTTTATTGGAGATAAGAGTCTCAGGGAAGCCAGCTGGGCACTAGTGGCTCACACCTGTAATCCTAGCTACTCAAGAGACTGAGATCTGAGGATCAGGGTTCAAAGCCAGCCCGGGCAGGAAAGTCACTGAGGATTTTCTCCAATTAGCCAGCAAAAAGCCAGAAGTGGAGGTGTGGTTCAAGTAGTAGAATGACAGCCTTGAGTAGAAAAACTAAAGGACTGTGTTCTGGCCCTGAGTTCAAGTCTCAGTACTGGTACACACACACAGACATACACACATGGGTGTGCATGCACGCGCGCACATACACACATGAAATGTGTTTTATAATACAAAATGCAAAGATGATATAGTTACCTTTTCTCAACTGTAGATCTTCTTCCCTGCTCAGTTTTTTTTTTTTTTTTTTCCCCTCAAACACTGGTCCTGGGTGCTGTCCCTAAGCTCCTTTTGCTCAAGGCTTTGCTCCAGACTTTCCTGCCTGAGCTGGCTTTCAACCTCGATACTCCCATCTCAGCCTCTTGAGTAGCCAGGATTATAGGTATAAGCCACTGGTGCTGGGTTTGGGTCTTGGTATTTTGCCTGAGCTGGTCTGGACCATGGTCCTGCTATTTATAATTCCTGTGTAGTGGGATGGCTGTGCCCCATTAAAAAAATTTTTTTTTTTGTCAGCCCTGGGGCTTGAACTCAGGACCTAGGAACCGTCCCAGCACTCTTTTTGCTCAAGGCTAGCATTCTACCACTTTAAGCCACAGTTCCACTTCTGGTTTTCTGGTGGTTAGTTGGAGATAAGAGTTTCACAGATGTTCCTGCCCAGGCTGGCTTTGAAACATGATCCTCAGATCTCAGCCCTCAGTGTAATTAGGATTATAGGTGTGAGCCACCAGGTCTACTGTGCCCCGTTTTTTTTAATTGATTTGAGTTAGTCTTCTGAACTTTTTGTCTGAGCTGACTTTCTTAGTCTCTTGAATAACTCAAGTTACAAGTGTGAGTCACTGTATCTGGTACACTTAAAAAGAAAAATCTTCATGTAGAATTTATTTATTTATTGAACCACAATCCTCAGATCTCAGCCTCCTGAGAAGCTAAGATTACATGTGTGAGCCACTGGTATCTGGCTTGTTTATCTTTTACTTTATTTTTTCTATGTTTCTAATAGGCAGACAAACCTTTTGGGAAGAAACACACAGACACTTGGCTTCTGTAATTCTGTCCCATTTGGGTAGTGTATAAATGACCAAGTTTGGTTGGGTGCTGGTGACTCATAACTATAATACTATCTACTGTGGACGCTGACATCTGATTTGAAGCCATTCCAGGCAAGAAACTCTGTATGACTCTTATCCCAATTAGCCACCAAAAAAGGTGAAAGTAGAGCTGTGGTTTAAGTGGTAGAGTGCTAGCCTTGAATAAAAGCTCAGGGAGGGCTAGGAAGGTGGTTCTGTGGTAGAATGCTTGCCTAGCATGCATGAGGCCCTGGGTTTGATTACTCAGCACCATATAAGCAGAAAAAGCCAGAAGTTGACACTGTGGCTCAAGTGGTAGAGCGCTAAGCCTTGAGCTGAAGAGTTGAGGGACAGTGCCCAGGCCTAGAGTTCAGGCCCCATGACCCCCCGCCCCCCCAAAAAAAATGCTCCTAGCGCCTAGGCAGAGTTTAAACCCCAGGACCAACACACACAAAAACAATTCAGGCCGGGTGCTGGTGGCTCACACCTGTAATCCTAACTACTCAGGAGTCTGAGATCTGAGGATTACGGTTCAAAGCCAGCCTGGGCAGGAAAGTCCGTGAGACTTTTTTTTTTTTTGGGTCTGGTCGTGGGACCTAAACTCTGAGCCTGGGCGCTGTCCCTCAGCTCTTCAGCTCAAGGCTAGAGCTCTACCACTTGAGCCACAGCGCCACTTTTGGCTTTTTTTTTCTGCTTATATGTGCGGAGGAATCGAACCCAGGGCCTCAAGCATGCAAGGCAAGCGCACTACCACTGAGCCACCTTCCCAGCCCATTATCTCCAATAAACCACTAGAAAACGGGAAGTGGCACCATGGCTTAAGTGGTAGAGTGCTCGCCTTGAGCTGAAGAACTCAGACAGTGCCCAAGCCCAGAGTTCAAGCCTCACGGCTGACCAAAAAAACCACCAAAACCCAATTCAGATGTAAACTAGAAAGTAACCCCATGTATCTGTAAAGGAAAAACAACAGTCCCGAATGTAGTATATACTCAAGATTGAAAGCAGGAAACATGTTTATATTCACCTATAAATGCAGCTTTCACAAATGTTTGCTGTTTAAAGATATGACAGCAATGTAACTTGTAATAAAGTGTCTGATGTTCTTCTTTTTCCATTCTAGAATGTATGACAACATGTCCACAATGGTATATATAAAGGAAGACAAGTTGGAGAAGCTTACACAAGATGAAATCATCTCTAAGACGAAGCAAGTCATTCAGGGGCTGGAAGCTCTGAAGAATGAGCACAACTCCATTTTACAGAGTTTGCTGGAGACACTGAAGTGTTTGAAGAAAGATGATGAGAGCAACTTGGTGGAGGAGAAATCCAACATGATCCGGAAGTCCCTGGAGATGCTGGAGCTTGGGCTGAGTGAGGCACAGGTACGGTGGGGTCAGCTCAGTGTGACTGTGAATGTCATGGAGACCTCATTTGGTTTTGAAAAGTTTTTTTTTTTTTTTTGTTGTTGAGTGGCTTGAACTCTGGGCCTGGGTGCTGTCCCTCAGCTCTTCAGCTCAAGGCTAGCTCTCTACCGCTTGAGCCACAGCACCACTTCCGGCTTTTTCCGCTTACATGGTGCTGAGGAATCGAACCCAGGGCCTTGTGCATGCAAGGCAAGCACTCTACCACTGAGCCACCTTCCCAACCCCTCCCACTAATTCTTAAGTAAAGCTCAGCACATTGAACCTTGGCTTCTCTCTTAACCTTGAGCTTAGGTAGTAAATGAATGAGGCAGAAGAGGGACTGCTGGGAAGAGCAGTTTCATAAAGGAAGTAACCACGTTGGGCCATAGGGGCTCACACCTATAATCTTAGCTCAGAGAAACCCAGTACTGAAAAGGGCTGGAGTCATAGCTCAGTGGTAGAGAACATTTCTACGCAAGCACAAGATTCTGAGTTCAAATTGCCCCCCAAAATAGAAAATGCAGTCACATACATCAGAGGAGAGGTGTCTATGATAGTCCTTGCTGTGCTTCTATATAGAATGAACAAATGTATTTTGTAGATCCTTTGAACATGTGATACTCAGAAAGAGTGAAGGGAAGGAGAAGCAAGCGGCAGATTGTACTTAACCACTGACACCGCTAGAGCTTATGCATCGTGTATGGATGGGGAACCTGTCCTGTGGCATCCTGCAACATGTCAGTGTCTCTTCTGCTTAGGTCATGATGGCGTTGTCAAATCACCTGAATGCTGTTGAGTCAGAGAAGCAGAAATTGCGTGCTCAGGTTCGTCGTCTGTGCCAGGAGAATCAGTGGCTGCGGGATGAACTGGCCAACACGCAGCAGAAGTTACAGAAGAGCGAGCAGTCTGTGGCCCAGCTGGAGGAAGAGAAGAAGCACTTAGAATTCATGAACCAGCTAAAGAAATACGATGATGATATTTCTCCCTCAGTGAGTGCCTCTTTGTTTTTGGCCAGTCCTTGGGCTTGAACTCTTGAGCTTCTTTTGCTCAAGGTTAGCACTCTAGCACTTGAGCCACAGTGCTACTTCAGTGTATGTGGTACTAAGGAATCGAACTCAGGTCTTTTTTTTTTTTGTCGGTCATGGGGCTTGAACTCTGGGCGTGGGCGCTATCCCTCAGCTCTTCAGCTCAAGGCCAGCGCTCTACCACTTGAGCTACAGCGCCACTTCCGGTTTTCTGGTGGTTTATTGGAGATAAGAGTCTCAAAATCTTTCCTGCCCGGGCTGGCTTTGAACCTCGATCCTCAGATCTCAGCCTTCTGAGTAGCTAGGATTACAGGTGTGAGCCACCAGCGCCCGGCCGAACTCAGGTCTTAATGTATGCTAGGCAAGCATTCTGCCACTAAGCCACATTCCCAGCCTCTTTCTTTTCCTTTTTTTTTTGGGCAGTACTAGGGTTAGAACTTCAGCTTGTTAGTTACTGCTAGTTACTGTTTGCTGAGCCATGCCTACAGCTTTTTGAGTAGATTTTTTTTTTTGGGTCCGGTCCTGGGGCCTGAACTCTGGGCCTGGGGCTCAAGGCTAGCGCTGTACCACTTGAGCCACAGTGCCACTTCCGGCTTTTCTTTTCTCTTTTTGCTTATGTGGTGCTGAGGAATCAAACCCAGAGTCTCATGCATGCAAGGCAAGCGCTCTGCCACTGAGCCACCTTCCCAGCCTCTGAGTAGATTATTTTTGAGGTAGGGTCTTGCTTCCTGCCTGGTGTCCATGTGGACCAAAATCAGCCTATTTTATTTGTTGTTGTTGTTGTTGTTTTAGTTGGTCATGGGGCTTGAACTCTGGGCTTGGACTCTTCAGCTCAAGGTGAGTGCTCTACCACTTGAGCCACAGCGTCACTTCCAGTTTTCTGGTGGCTAAATGGAGATTAGAGTCTCATGGACTTCTGACTTCTGCCTGGGCTGGCACTGAACCTTGATTCTCAGATCTCAGCCTCCTGAGTAGCTGGGATTACAGGCTTGCACCTGGCTGTTTTTTTTTTTTTTTTTGGGTCAGTTGTGGGACCTGAACTCTGGGCCTGGCACCATCCTTCAGCTCTTCATCTCAAGGCTAGTTCTCTGCCACTTGAGCTACAGCTCCACTTCTGGTTTTCTGAGTGGTTTATTGGAGATAAGAGTTTCACAGGGCTGGGAAGTTGGCTCAGTGGTAGAGCGCTTGCCTTGCATGCCTGAGGCCCTGGGTTCGATATCTCAGCACCACATAAGAAAAAAGCCGGAAGTGGCGCTGTGGCTCAAGCGGTAGCGTGCTAACCTTGATCTGAAGAGCTGAGGGACAGGGACCAGGCCCAGAGTTCAGGCCCCATGACCTACCAAAAAAAAAAAAAAAAAAAAAAAAAGATTTTTCAGGCAAGATATGTAATACTGAGAATAAAACGTGCTCTGGTCTCTTTTGTAGGAGGACAAAGATACTGATTCTACCAAAGAGCCACTGGATGATCTCTTTCCGAATGATGAGGATGACCCAGGCCAAGGAAGTGAGTGGCAGGTGGTGTGCTGTGCTGTCAGGTTGGGTGTGTCATCGTGTTGAGTGGTGCTTTCCTTCCCTTTGAGGACACACTTGTCAGAGTTCAAGCCTTAACGCAGGCGCCTGCTGCACAGATTCCAAGAACAGGATCACCCCCTTTTTTTTAAGGCAAAGTTTTTTGTTTTTTGCTTATCAATTAAAGATTTTAATTGTACTGAAAACAAACATAATACTAATTTTCAGTATGAAGAGTTAATTTTTACAAAAATTTTTATTTTGATTATGTGATTACATAAATTTCACAGTATTTTGAGATAGTGATACTTAGTAAGTCACAAACACATTCTAACCTTCATGAGGCAAATTGTCATTATCATGGTCTATAAAGTTTGTAATTCTGTGAGCTTTGACAGTACAGCTATTTCTTCCACATCAGGTGATACATACATTTCTGTTTGTTTGTTTGTCTTTTGGTTCGGTCATGGGACTTGAACTCTGGGCCTGAGCGCTGTCCCTCAGCTCTTCCGCTCAAAGCTAGCGCTCTACCACTTGAGCCACAGCACCACTTCCGATACATACATTTCTTTCTCTTTGCTTCGTGTCAGCTGTTCCCTCTATCCATCTCATTCCCTCCCTCTCATCGCTGCTCTGGAGTTGCTTACTTTGCTTTCATCATTGTCCAGTGCAGCTGTTGGGGTCCTGCTGTTGTATGTTTTTTCCTGTTTGCCTCTGTTTCTGTGTCTTCCTCCTAGTTTCACTCAGATGTACACATATATACCATATATGTGGTCAGCAGCATGGGGTCATTTTGTAATGATACGACAAGATGAGTGGAGGTCCTTTGTTTCTTCAGTCTTCTTTATTTTCTCCTTACATTTTGGATTTAACATCCACATATCAGGGAGACCAGGTGTTAAGGTAAAGTCTTGATGTGTAGTCTAGGCTAGCCTTACACTTGAGATCACCTGTCTCAGCCTGCCAAATGCTGGGATTATAGGTGGATATCACCATGCCTGATGGGATTGCCTTTGTTCCCCTAAGATTTAAAGTGTTTGTACATGAAAGGATATAGTAGTGTGCACGCACAGTGTACATGTGGCTGTGGGTCCTTGTAAGGTAGGAGTCAGTGCTGCTGCTTCAAGGATATAGTAGTGTGCACGCACAGTGTACATGTATGTGGCTGTGGGTCCTTGTAAGGTAGGAGTCAGTGCTGCTGCTTCTTAGTCTGATACCTAGTAGTCTCATGGCATTGTAAACCAACAGAGTGCCGTTCCTGACCAGTCGTTCCTCTTTCCCAGCATGTGCAGAGGTACCCAGAAAAGACCATGTTAGCATAGGGGTCAGCTTGAACCCGGTAGTGGGGAAGTGTGGAATTGGCTGGCCTGCACTGTTTTTCTTGCACCCGCTGAAGTGTGTCTTCTCTGAGCAGTTCAGCAGCAGCATAGCAGTGCTGCTGCCGCCGCCCAGCAAGGAGGCTATGAGATTCCTGCGCGGCTGCGCACGCTCCACAACCTGGTGATCCAGTACGCATCACAGGGGCGCTACGAAGTGGCTGTGCCACTCTGCAAGCAGGCCCTGGAGGACCTGGAGAAGACTTCGGGCCATGACCACCCTGACGTGGCCACCATGCTCAACATCTTGGCCTTGGTGTACAGGTAGTCCTTTGGTTTTTGCGCTGAATTGAAACTAGAGACAACTTTAGCCAACTTGTACTTTGAAATAGGTTTTAGAAATCATGTGACTCATTCTTATGATATTTATCTTCAAGTAGCCTTAACCTCCAAATACTCAGCCAGCTCTATGGTAAAGGTCATCCTGACCAGGAACAGAGGCTGCCTGTGCCCCACCCATGCCTTTCTGAGATAGCCTACAATACCCCCAACTGGGCCAGTTGAGGTGTGATTTTTGGCCCAGGATTTCTTTGGCCTGGGATGGCCTTTCTACCTTGTCTGTCAGTGTCGTCCCCACCTCCTAAGGGCCTGGACTCTCTCTCCTTTTGAAATCCTGGATTCTCCTTACAAAACCTTTGCCTCCTCTGCCTCTTTCACCCCTGTGGATGGGCACCCATGGGGATTTTGGGTTCTGAGCCCTGTGGACAGAACAAGTCTGGGCCTCTGGGCAGGATGCCGTGTGGGGGCTTGTGTGAGCGTATGTGAAGGCAGGAGTCTGGAGATAGGTCCTGAGCAGAGTAGGGGTGGGGCAGTGTGGAGAAAGAGAGATTGGCCCAGAACTTGAACAGTACTTTGCTGCCATCTGTAAGGATGGGTGAGTTTTTAAAGGGATGTTTGAAAGTTGGTAAAAATAAAGGGGGGCACGGTTGTGAAGATCGAGGTTCAAAGCCATTTTGGGCAGAAAAGTCCATGAGACTCTTGTCCCCAATTAATCAGAAAAAGTTGGAAGTGGTGCTATGGATCAAGGGGTAGAGCTCAGGGGCAGCACCCCAGTGGAGTTCAAGCCCCAGGATCTGCCAAAAAAAAAAAAAAGATAGGGATGGGAGGGAAAAATTAAGAGGAGGACATTGTCCAAAAAGAAATGTCCTTTTTATCTGACTTATGTATAATTGTATCCCCTTTGTATATTACCTTTAAAATAAGAATGAAAAAATTAAAACACAGAAAAAGGATTTGGGAGTCTGGGTATATAGCTTAGTGGTAGAGCTTGAGTTTAGCATGCATAAACCTAAGTTTAATCCCTAGTACCAATAAATAGCTAGTTAGATTAGATTGATTGATGTAGTAATTTACATCTAAGCATTTAATGTTAGTAATTTACATCTAAGCATTTAATATATTTTTCAATTTAGGGATCAGAACAAATACAAAGATGCAGCTAATCTACTGAATGATGCTTTGGCTATCCGTGAAAAAACTTTGGGCAAAGATCATCCCGCGGTTGGTATACTTGATTCAGTCTTTTACTTTTGATTTTCCCTAGTACTTTTTGTCCAGTTCATCCCACGTCAAGCTCAACAGGGAGGTCTGAGAGCAGCCTTGTCCCCAGCAGGCTCAGGTAGTGACAAGCCTCTATGGCAGCTACTCTGATATTTACACACGCTCGTCACTTCTGATGTGTTGATGGCCACTGCTTTGAATGGGGCACCAGCTGTATTTCTGATCTATAATCAAACTGCATGTCCCTCTTTAGATTTGTCCCCAAGAGTTTATATTGTATCTTTATTAGAATCTGGTCAGACTTGTAGTGATCTGTTTTGATTGGAAAATTAAAAGAAATCCAGTTCATGTTGATTTGTTTAATTTTGGAACATGTTCTAATTGGTACTTGATGTGATCTACCTCACACTGCAGTGACCTCACCCTCTTATCCCATGAGGAAGCTTCACTGTATGTAGTGTGTTGTGGTTCTTTGTGGCATTCTGTGTTGGCAGGTGGCAGCAACTCTGAACAATCTTGCTGTGTTATATGGTAAACGAGGGAAGTACAAGGAGGCTGAGCCTTTGTGCAAAAGAGCCCTGGAGATCAGAGAGAAGGTATGACACGTGAAGGATTCTTCTCTGAGATTTTTGTGTTTAAGTTCTGAACACTGATATGTCACTACCAGTTTTTGACTGAAAGCAACTTGTTTGAAAAAGCAGATAGTGGGGCTGGGAAGGTGGCTCAGTGGTAGAGCACTTGCCTTGTATGCATGAGGCCCTGGGTTCGATTCCTCAGCACCACATAAGCAAAAAGAAAAAAGCCAGAAGTGTCACTGTGGCTCAAGTGGTAGAGCGCTAGCCTTGAGCTGAAGAGCTGAGGGACAGCGCCCAGGCCCAGAGTTCAGGCCCCACTACCGGACAAAAAAAAAAAAAAAAGAAATATGCTCCTGTTTTTAGCAGTACAGTGATTTTTCAATTGAGTGTGTGGTGCCTCAGATGTGTTATCCTAGATCCTTGGGAAACTGAGAACTAGAGGATTGAAGTTTAAGACCTCAGGCAGAAGTCAGGTGTTGGCTCACCCCTCTAATCCTAGCTACTCAGGAGGCTGAGATCTGAGGAGCACAGTTCAAAGCCAGCCCAGGCAGGAAAGTCCGTGAGACTCTTATCTCCAATAAACCACTAGAAAAACTGGAAATGGCGCTGTGGCTCAAGCGGTAGAGTGCTCGCCTTGAGCTGTAGAGTGCAGGGACAGCGCCCAGGGCCCAGAGTTCAAGCCCTGATGACCGACCCCCCAAAAAAAAGACCTCAGGCAGAAAGGTTTGTGAGACCCTCTTCTCAGCCCATAGCTGGGCACAGTAGCACATGCCTATCATCCCAGGTTAGGTGAGAAGTAGAGAATGGGAGGATTAAGGTTATAGGCTAGCTGGGCAGAAAAAGTCTTCAAGACTCTGTCTGCCATGGAGGGAAGTATGAAACCATATCTTAAAAGTAAAGGCTCTACTAGAAGAAATCATGTTGAGCTAGGTAAGCCAAGAGCAAAGAGACAAACAGTAGGTACATGGTCTCCCTGATAAGTGGATGTTAAATCCAAAATGTTAGGTGATACGACAAAATTAACAGAACTTAAGAAACAAATAACTTCTACTCATCTGGTCGAATCACTACTAAATAACCTCATGCTGCTGATCACATGTGTGGTATATATGTGTACACTGGAGGGGGAACAGGAAGATGACACAGAACTAGAGGGAATCAGGGAAAAACATAAAACAGCAGGACCCATCAGCTGCACTGGATATTGACCAAAAAAAAAGCACCTTAATGGCAGTGATGGGAGGGAGGGAACAAGTGGGAAAGAGGGAACAGCTGACGCTATGCAAAACAAAAGAAATGTACATACCACCCAATATGGAAGAAATAACTATCACAAAGCTCATAGAACTCATAAATGTTATAGACCGTGATAGACAATTTGCTCCAGGAAAGTTAGAATGTGTTTGTGATTTTAACTGAGCATCACTATCCCACAATACTGTGAAATTTGGGAAATTATGTAACCACTTAAATCACAATAAAAAATTTGGAAAAAAAAAAAAGTAAAGGCTCTGTGTGTGTGTAGTGGTAGAGCATTGAAGCCTCTGAGTTCAGACCTCAAGACTACAAAAGAAAAGAAAAGTAACTGGAGTGGAGGAGGGTTGGGTGGTTAGCCTCTGGTTTTCTGTTCTAAGGGGATCTGATCAGCTGGGCAGCAGAGCAGGAGTCTTAGCCTCTTGTTAGAACATCATGCTGGGCAAAGAGAATTTAAGCTGTACTCAGCCTCATGGGCTTTGCTGACACTCTAGATAGCCCAGGTGAAATACTTCTAAGTGTTTTGTGAGCAAAATTATCAGGCCTAGCACCTATGTAGACATGTTGGATTCTTCATTTCACTTCCACAGCGCTAGTCATGTATGGTTGTCTTCTTCCTATGTCTTCTAATCCATGAGCTTTTCCGGGGCTGGTAGGTGGCTCAGTGGTAGAGCGCTTGCCTTGCATGCATGAGGCCCTGGGTTAGATTCCTCAGCACCACATAAGCAAAAAGAAAAAAGCCGGAAGTGGTGCTGTGGCTCAAATGGCAGAGTGCTAGCCTTGAGCTGAAGAGCTGAGGGACAGCGCCCAGGCCCAGAGTTTAGGTCCCATGACCGGACCCAAAAAAACAAAAAAAAAACAAAAACCAATCCATGAGCTTTTCCTCTAGTGTGAATAATTTTTTTATTTTTTGGTGTTGGTCCTGGGGCTTGAACTCAGGGCCTGGAAACTGTCCCTGACCTTTTTTGCTCAATACTGGTACTCATCATTTGAATCACAGTTCTACTTTTGACTTTTTGGTAGTTAATTGGAGATGAGTCTTATGTATTTTCCTGCCTGGGCTGGCTTTGAACAGCGGTCCTCAGATCTCAGCCTCCTGAGTAGCTAGGATTATAGGCTTGAGCCACTGGCACCTGGCTTCCAATAGGACTTGGTCTGGCCAGGATGACACCTAGGAAGGGTTGTAGTGAACAAAAAACAAAAAAACATAAAACATAAAAACCTTGCAGTTTCTGAGACTTAACAGCTCCTGTCTTCACTTTATATAGTATTGTTTTTTTCTTTCTCTAGATGAAAATAAACCCATTTGGATGCATGCGGAAGAAAGAGAAGAGTGCAAGGTAAGGCTGTACTATTTTGAGGGACTTTCTAAATTTGATGCAATGTGCATTCACAGCCATCACTCATTTGGAATTGTCTCTCATAATTTAGGGAAAGCAGAAGGACGGGACGTCTTTTGGGGAGTATGGTGGCTGGTACAAAGCCTGCAAAGTTGATAGGTAGGTCTGTTGCTCTGAAAACAAGGCAGCCCAGCAACATATTGGGTCTTGAGCAGCTTAGGAAGGACATAGGTGTGAACTTCCTTAGTGTTGGGGTCACATAGGCTCACATTTTCCCAAATTCTGATGACATATCCTATGCTTTTTTGTGAATGAGGTCATTTTCATATATAGAACTTACCTGCAATAGAATGGGTTCTGTCCATTAATGATTCTTTGTCAAGGTTACTTATCTAATTGAAGGAAAAGAAATGCTCAGATGATGAAACAGTGTTGAAGGTAGCTGTTCAGCCCATGAGGGCCAGTATGCAGCAGGCCTAGAGAGCCGGTGCTGAGGAAACCTGGAAACCTGCTCTAGTGGCACACAGTATGATGTTCAGCATGCATGCTGCGTGTGCACATGCGCTCTCTCTCTCTCTGTATCTCTCTTTCTCTCTCTGTCTCTCTTTCTCTCTCACCCTGGGGGTGTGTGTAGGCCCTGCCACGCCTCTCACCTGTGCTTTCCAACCCTGAGCTGGTTCCTACCTCCTGCCCTCACGTGCTTCATGGCTGCAGCCGGCCCTCCTGTGGAGAGCACACCTTGCCTGTTTAGCTGCATTTTCTCTGCCCTAATTTCCTGTAGCATTCAGCTTCCCATTCAGGCTTCAGGAAAAGTTACTGGAGCCTGGTTTGTAATAGATTCCTCCCTCTTGACTCCCCATACTTATTGTAATATGTGAAATTTACATCTTTCATTGGACAGTTGTCTCAAAGTCATGTTATTCCTGTAATTATTAGTGAGAGAAAAAAACACCTTTTAGAGTGGATTTGTACTAGAAGGAATATATATGCTTTTTTTGTTTGTTTGTTTGTTTTTTGTCGGTTGTGGGGCCTGAACTCTGGGCCTGGGTGTTGTCCCTCAGCTCTTCAGCTCAAGGCGAGCACTCTACCACTTGAGCCACAGTGCCACTTCTGGCTTTTTCTGCTTATGTGATGTTGAGGAATGGAACCCAGGGCCTCATGTATGCGAGACAAGCGCTCTACTACTGAGCCACCTTCCCAGGTCCCCCCTCCCCTCCTTTTGTTTTGAGACACAGTCTTGCTGTGTTCCAGGCTAGCCTGCTTCACAGCCCTCATCTTATTGCCTCAGCATCTTGAATGCTCAGGTGGTAGACATGTGCCTGTTTCTAACTTTTTAAAGACTCTGACAGGTACGCAGTCACACTGCTGTCCCTGTCTAGTCTCTTCATACACACTGTTTGTTTAGTGATATCATGATGGGAGATTCTAGCTTGCTGTGCAAGTGACAGGATGTGTCCAGCAACACAACACTTCTGCTTTCGTGGGTCAAGCTCCTGCCTGCAAACATAGCATGCTGACTACTAGACAGACAGACACATACTGTTATGGACAGAGATCAGGGGTCTGTGGCAATGGAGAGGCCTGGATGGATGCTGCATCTACCTGCTACAGGGGCCAGAGGGGTCTGACAGTTCTGGGTAGAAGGGCATCTTGAGTTAGAAGTACTCATTAGCCAAAACAAAGGACTGTCCTCTCCTGGTGTCTCTTCCAGAACAGATTGACCCTGAGAGGTTGTCTGGCCTCTGTGCTTCTTAGCTGCTGGCATTGAAGGAGCTTGCACAGTGGAAAGTTAACATTTTCATCATAACATGTCTGACCTTTAGATCACATGCTGTGATGGGGGCTACCCTGGGACCTGCACTTAATGGTTCTATTTAGGACCTACATTTAATAGTTCCACATATTATGTGCTTTCTTATAGTCCAACAGTCACAACGACTTTAAAAAACCTTGGCGCACTTTATCGTCGTCAAGGGAAATTTGAAGCTGCAGAAACATTAGAAGAAGCTGCCATGAGGTCACGTAAACAGGTGAGTACAGCACTTCTGTTTGGCTGTGTGTGTGTGTGTGTGTGTATGTGTGTTTTGTGTGTGTGTCCGTTGTAGGGCTTGAACTCTGGGCTTGGGTGCTCTCCCTGCACTCTTCAGCTCAAGGCTAGAGCTCTACCACCTGAGCCACAGTACCACTTCCAGATAAGAGTCTTAAATTTGTCTACCTTGGTTGGCTTCAAACCACAGTTCCCAGATCTCAGCCTCCTCAGTAGCTAGGATTAGGTGTCTGTGAGCCACTTGTGCCTAGTTTGCTGCATATTTCTGCCCATGCTGGCTTCAGATCTCTATCCTCAAGATCTCTGCCTCCTGTATAGCAAGGATTGCAGGTGGCTCACACATGTAGGTTGGGAAAGCCCATCTCTGCGGGCACACATATTCATTAAAAGATTGCATTAATAAAATCCTTGGGTTTTCTTTTTTCCTAGTGTGGGGTTAGCTATGATACTGGCTTAGATAATAATCAAATCAAATGTCTACCATAGACAACTACCAACCATTTCATACAGATAAAGTGTGCATAGCAGGTTATACACCATATAAAAGATCGTGCATGTTGAGTGTCTTAACAGATAACTAAAGCAACATTAACAAAACGGGGTATTATTTGAGAGATTGTTTTAGTTGAAGATTGATTGCCCAGGTCTTTTTCTCCCTAGAAGCCAGTTATCATATATCCTATGCTAAGTTGCACTTTTAACTTTCTTCCCTCAAACGCATGGTATGAGGATACTGTAGGACAGAAGACTTGTACCCTCCCCTGACCATAAGCATGGACCCATCTGGGAGGAGACCCCTGGGTCTGGTTGAGGTTAATCTGCAGAGTTAGATTCTAAAGCACTCTGACCCAAGGAGAGGAATGTCTCCATCCTCCCATTGCTGAAGGCTATGCTCTCCAAAGCACTTGGCTGCACATCCAAGTGCCAGTGCCGTAGCTGTTTAGGCATCACAACTTTTTCCTTTTTTATGCTTGTACTGGGGCTGGAACTCAGTGTCTCATGCTCCTGCTTGTCTTGTTCATTCAAGGCTGGTGCTCTACCAATTGAACCATAGCTTCACTTCTGACTTGTTGGTGGTTAAATGGAGATGAGTCTTGTAGACTTTCCTGCTCAGGCTAGCTTTGAACCTCAATCCTTAGATCTCTCAGCTTCTTACTTCAGACATGAGCCACTGGCTCATGGTTTACTTCCTTTGTACCAGTATTACTTTTTTTAAATTTAGAACTTTGAGCTCTCACTTGGCTTTTTTTTTTTTTTTTTTTTCTGTTGGTAGTGGGGCTTGAACTCTGGGCTTGGGTGCTGTCACTGTGCTCTTCAGCTCAAGGCGAGCGCTCTACCACTTGAGCTACAGCGCCACTTCCGGTTTTCTGGTGGTTTATTGGAGATAGGAGTCTCACGGTCTCTTCTGCCCGGGCTGGCTTTGAACTGTGATCCTCAGATCTCAGCCTCCTGAGTAGCTAGGATTACAGGCGTGAGCCACCAGCGCCCGGCGAGTTCATCTTTTTTTGGACAGCGCCACCCCTCCCTTCCCTTCCCGTTTCCCCTCTCACTCGAGCCCACAGGTTACATATGCTTGTCCTGTTTCATCCTGGTTTTGATGCCTTGGGAGTTCAACAGAGTCCTTGTGAGAGGTCTCAGCTTTTGTAAGGAAAGGTAAACTGGCCAATTAGATAGAAATAAGAATAATTCCATGTGTCAGAATATAATTAGAGTTTAGTATGCTTTTATACTTTATTCTTGAGTAGTTGTAGGTAAACTTGTTTATGATTTTAGCACCCTATGATTGTTTCACATATATACGATACACATTTTTATATCATACACACACTTTTTTTTTGGGTCCGGTTGTGGGGCCTGAACTCTGGACCTCAAGGCTAGCGCTCTACCACTTGAGCCACAGCGCCACTTCCAGCTTTTTTTTTCTGCTTATGTGGTGTTGAGGAATTGAACCCAGGGCCTCGAGCATGCAAGGCAAGCGCTCTACCACTGAGCCACCTTCCCAACCCCCCACACCTTTTTGGCGCTCGAACTCTGGGCCTGGGCGCTGTCCCTCAGCTCAAGGCGAGCGCTCTACCACTCGAGCCAGCTTTTCTGCTTATGTGGTGCTTAGCCACCTTCGCAGCCCCTCACTGATAGTTTTGTTTTGATATATTGTAGGGCGAGGTCTGTGGGGGACTCTGCTGGGTGCTGTGTGCACAGGCCCTGTCCTGCAGTAGCACAGGCTGTGGTGGCTGTGTCAGGGCCCTGGGTCCCTATGGGGTTGCTGCAGTGACCCTTGGGATGGGCTCTTGCAGCTCACGAGGTGCCTTGGGTTGAGGGGCGTCTGTAGTCAAGATGAACAAATTACAAGGATTTTATGAGTCTCCATAATTTAGACTACATGTAATTTGCAGGCATTTTATCAACAAATTATAAGAAGGCGAAGGATGGGGCTGGGAAGGTGGCTCAGTGGCAGAGTGCTTGCTTTGCATGCATAAGGCCCTGGGTTCGATTCCTCAGCACCACATAAGCAAAAAGAAAAAAGCCAGAAGTGGC